ACACACACACACACACACACACACACACACACACACACACACACACAATTTATGTATAAATATATATAATTATATTAAATATTAAAACGTTTTATTTTTCTTTACGTCAGATCTAAAATTCATTTGCTTTTGGATTTTACAACTTTTTTTTAACACATTTCATACTCTTGTTATATTATAGGTGAAATGCGCTCACACGCTCTACAAACGGATAAGAGTGTCGTCCATGAGCTACGCCGACGTGGCTGAAGTGGCGTTCGCGAACGGACCCAAATGGTCTAGAAATTTCTCGTCGATAACCCGGCAGTCTGTGCTCTGGTTGTTGTTCGTCACATATTTTGGAACGTGCAGCGTGTACACGGTGATAATCGCTTCAAACTTTGATCAGCTGTTCACATACCACATGGGTTATGAACTGAACCTCCGATCCTTTATCGCGATGCTGCTCATACCACTCATACTGCTCAGCTACGTACCTAACCTCAAGTACTTGGCACCCGTTTCTATGGTGGCCAACCTATTGATGGCAACCGGTCTGGGCATCACGTTTTATTATACGCTGTGTGACGTACCCAACATTTCTGAAAGGCCGGTTGTGGGGTCACTTGAAACGTTCCCGACGTTCTTCTGTCTCACCGTGTTCGCTATGGAAGCCATTGGAGTGGTACGTTATACATTATCGAAAAGTACTTAAAATTGCGCGAAGAATAAATTAGGTTCCTACAAAAGCGATTAGTAGGTATACGCACGTGTATAACTTATATGTACATATCTTGTACCACTTGCAGGTTTCGAGACATAATATTTAAATTGCAAAAAAAGTTGTTTTGGTGCATAATTTTTTTTCCTATAGAATTTGAAACACTTTTCAATATTATTTTTCATCGACTGTTCTTAATGCATTTTTTTTTTTTTTTTTTTTTTTAATCATTGAGGTACTAAACTGATCATCATATAAGTACTCACTACTTATTATATTGTATACATTATTGTATACATAAATGTTGAGTATTATTTTATTTTAAATTTTATTAAAATAATTTATACGCGTATTATTTTTGTATAGGTGATGCCGCTGGAAAACAATATGAAAACGCCCAGAAACTTTTTGGGACTTTTCGGCGTGCTAAACGTCGGCATGGGTGGCGTGACCGTTGTGTACATTTTGCTCGGTTTTTCCGGTTACTTGAAGTACGGCGAATCAACGAAATCGAGTATAACGTTAAACCTTCCCATCGAAGACGTGTGAGTGAAATATGCAGCTGGCTCTATACTCTCATATCTTATAATTTGTTTTACAATTACCGCGACTTCTGAGATATCTGGTCGAGCACGGTTCATTATTGTTAACGATCACCTATTGAGTACAGAGAAAATATTTTCATTTTATGAAACGATATTAAGTTTTTGGTGGTCTGTCTATAATTAGGCTCAACCATGTACGCGTTTTATAAAATACGAGTATATTACGAATATTAACACCTATATAATGCGTATTCGTTGTCTGTTCAATTATTATTTGTTAAAATATCTTAAATTTAGCCATATAGGTATTCTATTTTTTTGATTTTTGAGATAAACTAGTATGCTGTCCAATGTCAAATTAGATTTTTTTATTTTTAGTATAGTTATTAATTAGAAACTTAATCCAACTATTAGTCGTTATACATTTTATACTTAATGTGTATCAATTTATTCGTTTCTATCATTGTTTGAAATACACAGAAAAAACAACAGTGGACAAAATTTGATTTTTTTTTTTTTAATTTACTATAATCTACTTTGATGAACAAAATACGTATAAACGTTGTACAGATTCTGAGCTGTAGTCTGTTCAATATTATACTAAGTATATATCTACTATTATACTCAATGCGTTAACGATTAAAGTGTTTAATTATATTTATACATATTTGTAAAACTATAAATTCAGTTTTTTCCTGAATTATAAATTATTATTATGTATGCTTTCTGATGAACGTGTAATAACTAAGACCTTTTATTGTTGGTATATGTGTTTACTGCAGTGCCGCTCAAGTGGCTAAAATATGCATCAGCTTAGCCGTGTTCTGCACGTACGGTTTACAGTTTTTCGTGTGCTTGGAAATCATGTGGACCAAAATCCAGGAAAATTTTAAAAAAACTACGACCTTCCACAATTACATCTTGAGAACGGTTTTGGTGACACTGTCTGGTGAGTAGATTACTGTAAACTTGAATATTGCAAGTTGCTGCAGGTAATCTTTTTGTTCGTTCTTTTTAAAAGTAAAATATATTATACAATTTTAAATTATGGCTCCATAAGAATTGCGTCCCAAAATACGAAAGTACACATCGTGATATCCAAGTTGCGTCTGTGATTTTCTCGCGACATATATAAGTTGCGGTCAAGTTAATAATTGATTAATTGGTTAATAATATACTATATACATATTTTCCTTTTCTAAATTATTCCACTATTTTTGTCCATTTAAAAAACATTTGTTTTGAACGCAATAACCTCTAAATAAATCATTCAAAAATTTTTGGAAAGCAAATTTGTATCCATAAATTTAATAAAATATTTATTTTTTTTTTTACTTAACACTTTAATTATTTCAAGATTTTTCATTGCCAAATTAAATAATATGATGATTTGTCGAACAAATGGAATTTCGAAGTGTGTCGTAAGGTAGTATTTACAGATAAGATGTCGATAATCGAGATTATCTATGAGTTTATCACCAAACATTATTCTTAGTTGCTAAAAAACCCATGGTCGCAACTCGTACATGTCACGAGAAAACTGCGGACGTAACTTAGACAAAATATCATTTAGAGACACAATTCGAATGCGCCGAGAAAAAAGTATCTCTCCATTCTAAAAATTTCGTGACAGCACATACCAATATGTTTTAAAATTTTATTTCTGAAACCTATAGCAGTTATATATACATAAATAGAAAATATTTAATTTTCGCGAGCCGAAACAAATTTCACATTCGTTTAAAAACGAAGTTTAAATACCCTCCAAATGTGAAGAAATATGTGTACAAATCTTGATGTAAATTGGTTCAGTTGTTTTCAAGTCTATTAACTTCAATCAAATAGAATTTTTAACGTAAAATATAATTATGTGATACATTTTTAGTACTTATTAAAATTAAAAACTTTCATATTAAACTTATAATTTTATTTTTCCTAAAATTTTGTAAATATTATTAAAAATGAGTTTATCTTAGTTAATTAACTTTTAATATTGTTCAATTATCTAATATAATTTTTATTTAATTTAAATAAATATGCTTTAAAATATGGTATTCAGTTTTGTATTTGTAATAAAAATTAGGGATTGATATTGATGTTATATTTTTAAATAGTATATGGTAAAAAAAATGTTCGTAGTGAGAAAGTAGCAAAACGACATTTAAAGTTAAAAGTTTGATTAAAAAGACGTACACAATACAGTATAGGAGATTTTCGTTAAGCTGAACCATTGGTGTTTTTAAAATTATTATTAAAATGAATTGATTTATTATTCAATTTAAAAGTATAAGTATTAAAAGGGCGTGAGGTAGGTTTTTATTTATATTTTAATTTTAAAGTGAGTTGTATTACAATGTAGGATATTACATATATAACATGTATTTTTCACTTGCTTAAAAATGTAAATATCAATAAAAACCTACATACAATGACCTAGGACCTAGATAAAATTTTAGTTTAAATTATAGATTAAAATCAATTTAATTTTAATTCAAGCAACACAAAATTAATTCTGCTGAACGTAAATTTTTTATGTTATAACTTATAAGTTTGTAAGATGGAAGTAACACATGCGGATGTCCTCTTATAAATAGGTTTAGATTTTTCTGGGTGCTCCGCGGATGCATACGAGTCATAGCCATATTTCCTAATATAGGTATATTTTATACTCCAGTACTTATAGGTATACCCACACCCCTAAAACTGATATTTTTCGAGCCCTAGACTTACATATTTATTATACTCGATATTTTAATAATGATAATATAACATTTATCTACCTGTTTTTTGGTTTCACAGTGATGATCGCTGTAGCTGTACCGACAATTGGACCGTTCATCGGACTCATCGGCGCTTTTTGTTTTTCGCTTCTCGGCATCGTTGTTCCTGTTATGATAGAGTTTGCCACATACTGGAACGACGTCACAGTCTGGATGACCATCCGGAATGCAGTGCTGATTGCTGTCGGCATTTTGGCGCTGATTTTCGGCACGGCCAGCAGCATCGCAGATATCATATCTACGTACGATCCTGCCCAGGCCGTTAAGTGTGCTATCAACTCCACGCTGACTGAGCCAACCGCAGAATGACCGAAAGTCCGGTCATAGCATCCGTCACCCAGCCACACACAACTCAAGACTTCCGATCGTTCCGAGTATATCGATACGATAATAATTGTATATATTTATAACCATAGGCGTAGTGCTAGGAGCTCTTTGGCTAGACCAAATGCCTTCCACCCCTTTATCTCCCAAAAAATGAAAAGGGTCTATTGTTTATATTGTCGAGATCAAATTTTACGTTGTTTTTTAAAATTTACGAATTGCCTCCCGTTCTTATCGTAAATAAAAAGGTTAATAAATACTGGTTGCTTTCGATGAACAGATAGTTCATAATTATACACGTGTTATCTCCCGTAAAGAATAAAATAGTAGTTATAGTAGTCTTCAGTAAAATATACTATAAGAGATAAATATTATTACATATTTTAATATATTGTGTTATGATTTTAAACAAAATTAAGCTTACATTATACTATTTATACTATAATCAATAAAATAAAAATGAATATGATATTACATGGTAAATAATAACGATAGACATTAGTCTTATAGATATATATGAATACATTTTTTCCTATTTAATTATACCGAACACCGTGATTTTATTGTAAGTCTAAGAAAAACTACATATTACAATTATTTAGAATAATTTAATCATTAATTTAAAAATTTAAAATTATATAATACGATTAAAAAGTATCAAACTTAGAAAATATTTTATACATTTATACAAATTTCAAATACGATATACAACTATATAAAATAATGATATAATTAAATAATAAAAAATATTTGGTAATATTTATAAATTATAATACATATACATTTTTTGAATTTTTTAGGAATTAATTTTTATTTATCACCTACTCATTAGGAGGCAACTAGTATACTAGACCCTTTTCATTAACGATACAACTTAGGGTACATACACTCAAAGGCAATTGGTATAAAAATAATTGACTTTTTTTGACTTCAGGAGGTCACTAGTATGTGTCTAATTTTTAATAGGTTTATTTCTAATCTCGATAGTTTATAATATTATGTACAAATTCATAACTGACTGAATATTAAATATAATAATAAATTATAATTTATACATATATAATTAATAATTATTGAAATGCATGTAGAATATTGCAATAATAAATAAATTGTATTAATTATGTATTTTTTTAAGTTAATTTTTTTTTTATTCGATAAAAGCTATTTAAAATAATTTACCGAGTAAATAAAAGTTTGGTTAAAATAAAATTTTTCTCATTGAAATTTATCGTTATTTAACTATAAAAACAATTAGGTATGTGAATAAAAAAGTTTCCAAAAAAAAAAAGTTTTTTACACAAATAATAATATAATAATCACATGCAAAAATGCGGTAATATTAGTAATTATGGCCCTTCAAACGAAAATACTGACTACGCCTATGTATAAATTATAGGTTATTAATGCGTTTTCACGTATTCAGAATGTTTAAGTCTCGGCCGGGATGGTCGGACGACAGGTCCGATACGGTCGAGAGAAACTGCTACGATTAATAATCGTTATTTTTTCCTCGACCGGACGCCTGTTGAACACTGCGAGGAAAAATTGTCGGGTTATAATATAATATAGGTGACAGGCACGCATAATAATATTATTTTTTGGGGCTCAAAAATTTATCAAATTATTATTTTTATTTTAAATACTTTTTTCATAAATATATTTATCAAACTTATCATTTTTGTCGTTGTAATAATATTGTATACGATCAATTTTTTTATTCGATCCAAGCTGGATTTACATGGTATTTTATAATTATATAAATATTTTCTATTTTTTTATATATTATTTATAGATAATTAAGGAATTACAGTTATATTTTATTATTTTTTATGCATATATAATAATAAATAATATATAATTTAACAACAATGATAAAAATATTTATTTTTTACCAAATACCTGATTAAAATTATATCAAACCATATTTTTTGGACTGTCCAAATCGAATAAAAAATATCCGAGGTAAAATTTGGTATTTAGGTTATAATGTTATGTCTGTATTATTACTTATCAGTCATCATATTTTTATTGAAAATTTAGTTCAAACATTAAAGGGTTTTTGTGAAAATTCCAGTATTTTTTTTCTCAATAATAAATTAATAAAAAACAGTCGAAAATAGGATATTTTTTACTTAAAGCCAGTTTTCAAATAAAGACCATTTTGTTGTTGTATCGCCTATAGTAAAAAAAAATGCAAGAAAATGTAATTATTACGGGTATCAATAATTATATTTGTTGACAGGCAAGTAATAAAATGAAATTTATTGACCTATAGTAAGTTATTGTATTAATTTTTTCAATATTTTATTTATTATCCAACTATAAAAAAACAATAGACAAAATACCTATATAGATTATGGAAACCTCGATAAAAAAAAAAAAAAATTATCAACATCAAAACAATTATTTACAAAACAGAACAAAAGAAAAAATATACGAACATGTTTTAAAACACGATTCTTACAAGTAATAGGTATTTTAATCGATTGATATTACAATAACAATTTTATTATGATTATAATCAGATGTCGTCAATTTTTATAACTATTTTTTTTTTTTAGACGTTACCGTAAAACAACGAAATTAAACGAATAAACATTAAATCGCGGCTATTGTTAAGTATAATAAAATATATAAAGTTAAGTATACTTTATCAGTTGTTATTTGTAGTCTTGTAGGTAAATCAGTGATTTACGCTTTCGGGGATATCTATTTATAATGAACTAAAGTTGGAAAATATTTGTTATAATGTGTGTGTGTGTGTGTGTGTGTGTGTGTGTGTGAGTGTATAGTATATACTGTTTACTGTTTAGATATTTGATATCTATGGACGTTATCTTAAAACGGAATGAATAAAAATATTTGGAGACACGTGACGGTACGCCGCCGTACGCAACGGCCAACGTCGCCAGTACAGAGTACACAGATATCACAACAAATGGTCTAACATTGCGGTCACAACCGCCACGCACAGGTGAAGTCGCGACACCGTCGACTCTGCCGCAAAGGCAAAAGGCGGGACGCGAAGACAGTCGCAGCGGACATGGATTAAATAATATACTGAATAAAAATATATATAATCTATGCCTCTTAAATAGTGTTTATGACTTATTTGCTATATCAAATTAAAATAATGAAATATACTAATATTCTACGGCCATCTTGTCGTATGCGCTCTACTACCCAATTTATCTTTACTATCGTGACTTAACGCTAATAAAGATTATCACTCTCTTTTACTGCATGATATAATATTTGATCGTGTAGTCATTGGCCGACAGTTCTTGGGTTTACACGGTTTTTATTTTCACTTTTCGATATGCTTGCAAAAGAATTTTAAACCATAATTCAAAACGAAGAATCAGCTACTAATTTTTTAATTTCTAAAAATCTTTTAGTAAATGTAGAAAATATATTGTGCGATAAATGTATCTATATATATATACTATAAATTGTAATCGTAATCCGTGCCGGCCCAGATAATATTATCATCATTCATCTTCAAAATTATCTAAACCGCGATGTTTGTCAGAATAAAATAAATCTAAAAATACGGTTTCCAAATATTCCTATAGTTCGACTTATCATCTGTATATAAAATTAATGCTTGTACCTATCACCTGTCACCTGTGTATGTACATATGGTGTAATAAAAATTATTACTTTATGTTACTTACAATTAGAGTGGTAAAAACGGTAGTGCAATTAAACGATAGAGCGCATGCGGCATGCCGCATATTGCAGTCGTAATGTCGCCGGTAGAGCGCATACAACAAGATAGCCCTTCGACCGTTGTCGAGACGTCATCGTTTCGCAACGATTGTCGTACTTGCAATCATAATATCGTGTTTCTACTTTTTATCGTTAATCGTACACGCGCTACTATTCCGTTTGAACGTCGACGAATATTAACCTCACTTTTTCGGTTTCTTGTTTTTTTTTTTTTTTTTTTGTTTCACGGTAAAACCACTTGGTTAAATTTTGTCCGAGTGCTTATGGATTTATTTTGTGCTTTCGTGATCGGTTCGCCGCGGCTTAGCATCGTTAGTCCATCACGGTGGCCGTGTCCAATTGGCCCCCCCGAAGAGGAATCGTCGCCTGGAGACGGCGCAAAGGTAAGAGCTTTTCACGTTAACGCTACCTCGGGTTGTTCACTTTGATTGTTTCATATTAAGATATATTTTAATCACCACGAGTGTGTTTTCCGATGAGCTAATTTTACGTAATAAGTATTCTGGTACGCACTACGTAGGGGAAATTCTGCAGAACCGATAATAACTGCAATATGGCTATGGGAAGTAATTGTTACATAACTTACCATCACTCCGTCAAACACCCGCCTTTCGTCACTTGACACTATCGCCGATAACAGCGCAGTGCGCAGCTGAGAATCTTTTTAATTGCCGTCGCCGTTCACGTAATCCAGTTCGTTACAATATTGGAATACGCCGACGACATTACGACAACAATATCATTACGGTAATACAGTTGATCGTTGCTTACATCGACATAATAATATCATTCGTCAAAAAGATATTGTCATTCACTCATGAGCTTACGCTCGAAATCGCTGCGTCGTACTGTAATACTGTACACAAGCGCGCTCATCTTTCAACCGTGTAGCGACCACATCGTGTGATATTAGGATAACTTTGTTATATTGTGACTGGTAAAATGCTAGGACAGTTGACGTCGAACGAGTTGCGACTCGAGTGCATGTAGGTAGCGCGCGGAATTAGCGTGTCCGGATCGAAGTCGGATTTACTAATAAGGTAGAGGAGAAAATTTGGGAATCCGGTCAAGACCCCCGGTGACGTGTGGTTCTACCTCAACGTACTCGACCAACCGTTAGATTTAGATTTGACGGAAGGTGCGGGATGGGCACTCACTGTCACAACAGACGCTGATAGAAATGCAGCAACAGCACCGAAACGAAAGAGTTCGAGGCACGTTCGCGGGTGCTGGAGGCTAGAATGTCGAGGTTCTTCGAAGAACGACGCATACGATTAGCACACTGCAGTCATAACGTTGTGAGGTTCCGCAGCCGGTGACTACACTGGTTCAGAGAGAGTCCAAATTAAGAAAAGGGTCCAAAAATAATGTAGGTACCCCCGAAAATTAGGTTTGCGCACGCTTTTGTCGATTATCTTATTAAAATTAATATGTAGATTCGTATTATTACCTACAAATATTGGTGGGGTTTGTGTTGAATGCCATAACGGTAAAATTATCACTTAATTGGTAAATAATTATGATGAAAAATTATATTTTTTATTTTTTATTTTAAAATATTAATAGTTAAGTTTATGTTATCTGCACCACTTACTATCAAATAAAATTGCAATTAGTTATTATTTTTTATTTATTTAAACAGAAATGTATTACTC